CCTTGTCGAGGCCTATATCCATGCTCCCAGTGAAGGATCACAGCCCCAGCCTGGAGCTGGCAAGAGCCCTTCCACTAAAGGAATTACAATTTACAATTGCTCTCACTAAAGCTACATTTGGGCCTTTATCTGACCTTCTTTGATCTTCTCCACAACCTCTGGCAGGTCTTCAGTGCATTCAGTTCTTTATATTAAAGCAATCAATCCCCACATGCAACCAATTAGGTTTAGACATAGTTTGGTGACCATAATACTGTACAGACGTTCTACCAAGTTTTCAACAAGAGAGGGTGGCTCCTGCATGTCACTTTCTAGTGGAAAGCACACTGACTGCAGTTCAGAAATATCCCAAGGAGAAAAACATTTTCCAGAATTACACTCCAAGCCCAAATGTCCCACTTGCAGACAACGTGCTGGCTTTGTGTACACACAGTAGGGACCCAAACACGGCTCCTCCTTGTTGGGCACAGCAGGCAGGGCAGGAATCTCACTAGACCTGTGTGACCAGGTTTGCCATCCAATAACCTCTTCACCTGCCACTGTCATTGCTAGCAACACACACCAAATATTTTTCGCTTATCAGAAGTCGAGAGGCGGCAGCATATGCAGAGTCCTTCAAACCTCGTTCATTTTGTCCGTGTTCCCCAAGGAGAGGTGAAAGGACAGCCAGAGCAGGTGTGCACTTGCCTTTGCTCTGAACACAGTGCAGCCCTTACTGTTCCTCTCTTGCTGCTGTACTGATGCACTGCAGCGTGGCCAGCATCCATGGTATTAGGTAAAGGCCAGTCTGGGTAGTCTTTAGCGATACGTCCTTCATCTGTTCATGGTGTCAAATAGTTCATACTTTGAAGTGGATGGAAAATGAGATTCCCTTCTCTTCAGATAGCCCTGGAGCAGCACAAGTCTTCCAAAATTCAGCAGAGGCGTTGAAAGCATGTCACCACTGTCTCTTTTGAGCTGTTTTTTTCAACACTGATGTTTGTTGAAGTGTCCTTGAGTCTGTTCACGATGGATGTTGCCCTGCTCGTGACAGAGAAGGGGCACATTTCCTTGTGTGGATCATTTCCTTTCAATAGAAGGAGCCAGTGTTGATGCCAAGTGCTGGTTTGGTTGCTGGGTCCCCTGCCAGGGAGAGCACATCTTGAGTTTGGGGGCTTGATGGCAGCAAGACCAACTGCAAGCCATTTCTCTCACACCTTGGGAGCCCTCTTCTCTGTCCTTCCTGCTCACACCTCACCAAGGAGACAGAGGCATCCATATGGACCTTCTAGGTCTTGTTATAGCACAGATGTGCAACAAGAAGCCCACAAGCAGCAGCAGTACAGACCATGGTCCTGGCACTGGACTAATTGTAGAGTTTTTCTATTACAGCAAAAGGTCTGGATGATGTGGCAATAGGAACTCTAATGAAGTTCAGATGGACAATTATCTAATGGAGCAGCTTTCCTCCAAAAATGTCATTCTGTCACAATCAAAATGCTTTGTGAAACTACAATTTTACCAACTATTTTTCTGAGGAAAAAATTCTAATAATTTTTAAAATAAAATGTTTAGGCTTGAGTTTTTTATCTTATATAATATATACATTTTTGAAAGTTATAATTATCTAAATAAACCAAAACTATTTATTTTTATGGAATTTTCCTTTGTGGAGAATTTCAACATTTTGAGGTTTTGTTTTGAATTGGAATGAAAACAAATTTCAAAATCTCAAAATTGTCTGTGAAACACAATTTCCATTCTCTGGCCAGCTCAAGTTTCAGGCTAGAGCATGTATAATAGATCCCCTGCAGGGAAGCTCTTTAGGAAAAATGTCTCTGAATGAGTTTACTGGTGCAAACATATAGCTTTAAAGATTTGTCAGTTTGTCCAAGCAGACGTGTCCCCGCTGAAAGCTCCTCCAAGCCATGAGAAGCCTCCACAAGTTCCTGAAAGACTTATTTCTGAACGTTATTACTAGCTTTGTACAATTGATGGTGGTCATTTCCTGGCATTTTATTAAGTAGCCAGTCAGTTACAGTTGCCATTTATTTGCAACAGACCACAGAATTGATACTGTAACTATATTCTTGGTCAAATTTGGTTGGACGCCTTTTAACAGTTTAAACTACAGATTACAAGCTGTATATTACGTTTTCAGTGTAGGTCCTGTCTGTTCACACTGAAATATTTGATAGAACAGAATTTATATCCTACAGTATTTCAATGAATTTAAATATTTATAGCCTTAGCAAAAAATTCCAAATAAATTAGACGACTTGCACTTTCATGGGTAAAGAACAGAAACCCTAAGACAAATTAATTATTAGGGACCTTGATGGAGACTTACTGTGAGTGCTGTTTTCAAGTGAGTTACTTTGGATTTACAGTAACATAAATGAGATTATAGCTGAACCTGTTCACAGCAGCTTTGTATATCATTAGGTAGGAAGCAGCCTAATACTGAAGTGCATTAACATACAGTGATGGTAAGTTAATCACACACTCTTCAAGAAAACAAAACAAGACAAAACAGAAAACAAAACAAAACCAAAAAAAGACCCTGCATGCCATGGAGGCTTTTACTGCCTTTTTCTGGTTGGGTTTTACCAGATAGAATTTGGTGTACACTGTGCTAAGATACTCCTCAGAATGTCTCTGCTCCTCCAGAAAGCAAAGGCTTCGTGTCAAGGTGAAAGCTGAACTGAACACACACTCTGCAGTCAAAGTTTGTTTATAGCTCCTGACTCTGGGTCAGTTATGTGGCAGTTTCCCTAAACAAACAAGCAAAACACAGGTCAATGTCCAAATACTGGAGTGCAGTTTATTTAAGCTGCTTCATCAGCTGGTGGAGGAGCAAAGCTGCAAAATGGGAACAGGCTGCCACTGAAAGGCAGTGGATCAAACTCATGCCCAGGTAGGACTCTGAGCTGTCCTTGTCTTTCACTGAGATGCCTTTAACCAACTGTCTCAGCATGACTCAGGAAGTTATTGAAAGCACATTTGGCACTTGATGCTTTTGTTGCAGAATCAGCAACACAAATCTTTCAATCCACTGTCCTGAGCTGTTACATTGTAAGGTGTGTGTTAAATCGTCACAACAGGAATCACTCCCTGAAGGATTGGAGAGAGGAAACCAAACCGAAATTGCACAGTAAATCTACCCAGGAATGACACACAGAAGCACAGCCAGTTGAGTCAGTTCTGTATGTGTCCTTTTCCCATGCCTCTGCTCAGCAAGGTATTTTCTGGAATCCTTACCCTGCTGAGTTAGCTGTTGACTTGTATATATAAACCACCTGCTTTGCTAGACTGCTCATGCATCTTATACCCCTTAAGGTAGTCATATAATCTCTACATAAAATTCCCTCCTTCCCTGCCATATATTGTCCAAGAAAGATGTTATCCTGCTCCCTGCTGAGAGACTGACTTGACAAAAACACAGCCGAGGCACCTTGTCACACTGAGGAAGCAGTGCCAACACTGCACCTCAGCTCTTTCCCTCTTGGAAGGGGAGCTGTTACAACTGGAAATGAAGAGGAAAAGGTCTAGCAGGGAGTCAGCTCCTTGCTGGGAAGGATCTGTTTGCTGTTGTCATGTGCTTGATAGTATTTCACTTGTTTGATATCAGCGAATTCATCAGCTGGAGTCTTGGTCACTTCCCTCAGTGTAAAATTTCAATACAGTGTCACAGAATATTCTGAGCTGGAAGGGACCCAAAAGGATCATCCAGTTCAACTCTTAAGTGAATGAGATGGCCCATGCAGGGCATCAAACCCACCACCTTGGCATTATTGCCACCATGCTCCAACCAGCTGAGTTTATCTCAGGGTCCACATTGCAAAGTCGTAAAGTTCCACTCACAAATTAAGGCCCTTCCCTATCCAGTACGTCCCTGCTCCTGTGTTTTGGAAAGTTTCCTTTAACGCTGTGGTTTTTCTCTTCCAATTTTTGCCACCTGACCGTATTTGTGAAGGGGTCTGTCAGAAGCACTGTGTGTTGGTTTGGCTCTGCTCTGCCCACAGCACAGGCTGCCTTCGAAAAGAGTAAATATAAACCAGAGGTGTGTGGCTTTTGAACACCCCACACTGGAACAAAAACAGAGATTTGCAAAATGAAAGCAACCTTTACTCATGCAGGTTTATTCTAAGGGAAGTGGGCAGCGGACTGGTCCCGGGAAGATCGCAATACAGGAATCCCTGGATTCCTAGACAAAACCTGTCTAAATGAGTTTGTGGTCAGCACTTGAAGCAAGCAATTGACCTTCCCATCAGCTCTTACAACAGCCTGCCGATGGCAGAGCTCCATGTGGCTGGCACAGGGAGCTCCTCTGTGGCTTCTGCTGGCAGTCTGAGTGTGAAGGTGCGCTCCCACATCAACTGTGCACCACAGCGTGGAAACCACTGCTCCTTTGGATTCCACCTGGGAGACTTTTTTTTCTCCTCGGAGTGTAAACGTGTGGGCAAACAGGGAGAATGGTTTAGAAAGCAGCAAGCATTGTTAAAATGCTTAAAGGAGAAGAAGATGGTATTCAGCTGAGCAGAGGGGAGAGGGAGGAGACTGTCCAACTTGGAGGGACAAGGGATTTGTTCAGGGAGCCACAGAAATATTTGTCTGGAAGCCATGGGAGAAAATGAAGAAAAGTATGCTTTACAATAAGTATCAAGACAATCTTGTATCAGGCTAGGAAATATTTTTGTTGGGAAAGCCCTGGACTTTAAAGTCTAACAGAGGTTTTCCAATAGCCAAAAACCAGATACATGCATAGAGTAATTAAAATAACATCAGATTCCCATGCAGAATGTATAGGACTGTTAGAGCAGCAAGTATTACAGAGGACTAAAAACGGGTGAGAGAAATCTCAGCTGCTGCCCCATAGTCAGCCAGCTACAGTCTCTGATCTGCAAATGTGTCAGCAGGAAAAAAATGGGGGAAATTAAATGGGTCAGTATAAAACCAATAACAAAGTAGGAGAAACACAAAATCTATGACATAAAATTAATATGTCGTTCATTTTTTTTATTGTCAAGCTCCTTTTGCAACGTGGAAATAGCTGTTTTGCTGTGGAACAGCTCAAGAAAATCTTTCTTGCACCTTCCTAAGCAGATGAACGCGATCACAAAGCCTACTTAACAATTAACAATTCTATTTTAGTAGTAGTAGTAGTAGAAGCAGCAGCAGTAATAATGGTTGTTGTGATACAGTAGCCTTGAGAGTCACGAGCTGTATCCCCTGGCCTGGTGCACATTGCACTCTACAAGCACACAGTCACAGATGGAAGAGCTTAAAACCTTGATCTCCCTTGCTTGTAAAATTCTGATTTGATTTAAAATTTGCTCTGTTCCAGCAAAGATTTATTTGTGTGCTTTTCTTTACCACTGTGAGGAATGTGACTACTCACAATGTGGAAAGCAAAGCCCATGCAGGATGAGAATCAGACAAAAGCAAGCAAGAGAGGGGAGATGGAGAATATTAGCACCCCTGAAGACTTTATGTGCCTTTACCTCTATGGAATGTGAAGCTTTATTTACTGCTGAGCCTTTCCACACTCAGAAAATACAGGTGAAGACCCAGAGCATGCTTAGATTGCTTTAAAACTTCAGATATTTGAAAATGGCAGCACAGTTTGGTTTCTTCTTTGACATCTGGTTTCTGAGCCTTGCAATGCATTTGGATCACATTTTCAGGCTTTTGCCTGCAACTGGAAGAATTAGAAATTTATTGTATTAAAAAAAAAAAAAAAAAAGAAAAAGAAAAAGAAAAAAAAAAGAAAAAGAAAAGCGAGAAAGTCATGTGATTGTGTGCTTCCAGGAGCTGAGACTTGAAGAAAAAGCCCACCCCAGACTCACAATAAAATCATGAGAATTGGAAACACCAGACTTAAGAAGCTCATCCAAGCTTTCTGCTGTGCATATGCAAAACCAGGGTGTTGTCAGGACTAGTTAGCTAATGTCATAAAGCACTCAGAAGAACAACGTTCGTTATTATTTAGGAGGAAACCAAAGTGTAAAGTGTTTTACATATAAATCTACCCTTTAGAAGAGCAACATTAAAAGCGCAAGATTGAGCTCTGGATTACTGAGGGGTAATAAAGAGGTTTTAAACACAGCCATAACTCATTCTGCATGAAAATGACTCAGCAGTGTCTTGACCAAGCTGGAAACAGGACCTCTGGAAGTGATTAGGGGTGGACTGTCTCCCAACATGCCTTCCCCCGCCAATCTGCTTGGGACGGTGGATGTGCAGAGCGGCCCAGTGAAAGGAGCCAACCCTCGAGCTGGGCAGGGAGATGGTGCCTCTGCACCTCCAGAACCTCTGTCTCAGGAGCAGAGCGAGGAATGGTGGCAGTGGCTCTGCTGGCATGACAGGTAATGCCTTGCAAAGAAGCAGGTTGTGCTGCAAACTACGTGGTGTGGCCACCCTTGTGTCCGTACTGCGGTGATTTTGGTGGTTTCAGAGGATCTGGAGCTTGGCTACGTGGACTGAACAGCCCCACTGGCAGTTGCAGCCCATTTGGTGCCCTCCTGAAGTGCCTCTGCCCGTTTGCTTTGAGGCAGAGCAATCCAGTTTGCACCACTGAGACCAGGCTGCCATGCAGGCAGCATTGGGTGAGTGGGGACAACAGGGAGATTTCCTCCAAAAGCCACTCCTCAGCTGAACCAATCCACTGCCACCCACAGCTCAGCATGGCTGGCGTAAGGGACGTCATCTCTGAGGGCAGAACTGAGCCTTCTGCAAAAAAATATTTCGGGCCAAGTATTCTTCTCCTTTGTCCACTTGTCAGTTCATTAAAATATTGCCAAGGGGGCGAGGACTTGGTGACAGCAAATGCGAGCCTGCTGACAAAAGGTTTGTTTTTCCTTTGCACCTTTTGCAGGCTCTTCAGAAGTCCCTCCTTCCCCAGACACTCCCAGCTAAGAATCACTAGTTTCAGTCCTTCGGACCAGGTCTGTGAGCAGCAGAGCTCTGTTCACTTTGATGGCAGCAGAATAATGCACACATGTTGAAATGTTCATTTCCTGGCTTTAGGAGCTGCCCCAGAGCTGGACATGCTACAAAACTGCTTGGAACCCGCTGGTCTGCTCCCCTCTCAGATGGAAGGAGAAGGGAGTGCTGTTACTTTGTTAGGAGAGAGCTCAAAACAAACAAGCCGCCACCAACTGCAGTTCATGTATATGGTTATGATTCTAAATTGCAAACAGGAGGCTACTTGGCTTTGCATAGTAAGCATTGTCTGGCAGTGGATGGGCTCCTCTGATCTCCCTGAGCCTTGGATTGCTGCTGTGAGATTGTGTCACAACTAGTCATTAATTATTTCATCAAAAGCTTATTTTTCTCATTTCCTCATCATTATTTCCACCTAGTTTCTTATAAATTGAATCCAGTTATTGGCAAGGCTTGTTGCTCCCCTAAGTGGGGTCTGGGCTTTTGCAGAGGAAAACATAGACCTTAAGAAAAAAATTTATTGTTAACATGTGTAGTTCACGTGCATATGTGTGCATACACTGAGCAAGGAATTGCTGTGTGTGTGTGTAAACATTGCCCTGACCCTCTTCTCATTTACTCTGGAAGAAAATTCCCCTTCCTTAAACCAACAGATTCCTCCTGTCTTTCCACCTGAGAATGACAAAATATTGTGGAAAAAAAGCATTGTGCAAAAAAAAAAAAAGAGGTATTGTCGTTGTCACCATGGGAATGAATAAACAAGGAAAAGCAGGAATGAAAAAGGTGAGTGCAGCTATTATCAGGAGATTCTAACTGTACCTTCCTGTCCTTGGGAGATACTTATTGTTTTTTAAAGGGCCACAGTATTCTTGGAAAAATGGAGACCCCTCCTGGTAATGCCAGCCCTGATAGGCAAGACAGGATAGATAGCACTACTCCTGGATTATCTCATTACAGCCACAGGAGATTGGGACTACCAAACCAAAGAAGTGGGGGAGGAGCAAGGCAGCCAAAAAGTCCAGAAAAGAGGCTCAGAAAGCTCTCCTGTGCCCAGTTGCTGAGATGCTAGCCAGGGGAGCAACAGAGACATCCACCGACACCTTCACCCCCTCAGAGAACAAAAGCAGCCTCACAAACACACTGCAGGCAACAGCCCGAGGCACAGAGGCTGCTGCTCAAGTGGGACAGAGGTGAGAGCAATGCCCTGGAGAGGCTCTCCAGGCACTCCCAGGAACCCAACAGCCTGGATGCTTAACCAAAACATGTTCTGTGAGACAGAAGGCTGCTGCTGCCACCCTTCCATAGCCTGAAGCTGGAGCAGCCTGGCTGCAGGGGACAGGAATTAGCAGCAATTGGCTGGACCTACGTGTATGAGTCCTCGTGGTGATGAGTCTGGTTGTTTTTGGGGAAACACGGAGCCTTTTGGGAAACACAGAGCCTTCTCCTCCCAATCTGTTCAGCATGTTGTGTGCAGAGCAGTGAGGAATGTCAGCAAGATCCCTCTGTGTGTGACTCAGCAATGGCGCCGTGATAAGCACGGTTTGTCCTGCAGCTTGTGCTTAAGAACGCAAAGATTTACCACAAGGGCTCCAACTCTTTCACAACACCAGAGGAGCAGCCACACTGGGCCAGGCCAAAGGTCCATCTAGCTCCTGCCTCCAACAGTGGGCAAAAGCAAAATGCCTGGGGGAAAGTATGGACACAGGGTAAGCACATACAATATTTCCCCTGAGTGCTCTCCCAGCCACCAACCATCTCCAGATTAGAAAATTTTGGAGCCAAGTATGTTTTTGTGTACTTGGAGCCCTGTAAACTGCCTTGGGTTGCATCCTTCAACAGTCCTTTGTGCTTTCCCTAATGCTTAGGCTCTCTCAAGACTTACTCTTTCTGATCTCTTGTTTAGATGCCCTCCAGATGCTCTTCAGTGTCTGCATGCTGGATGTACGCCCCTCTATATAATTCATCTGAGTTTTCCACCCCTTAGTCATACATGCTCCTCCTTTTTTCCCCTGTCCTTCAAACTTCACCACAGCTCATGAAGAGGATGCCTAAAGCTCGAAAGCACCTACTGGGACTGTCCCTCACTTGAAAGTTGATGCTTCCATGCTACAAACTCTCGAAAGTTTTTGGTTGCAGGGTACACATATTGTCCCGTGTTTCCTCGTCCACACTCTTTCTTTCTGACCCTTCATTTTTGCAGTTCTCTGTCCAGGCTTGGTGGCCCTCTTTGAAGTTTATCTGTTTCCCCCCCCCCCACGCCCCAAATCTCAGTGGACTATGAGAATTTCCAAAAAAATATTTGGCTTTATTTGTAGCAGAACTGTTGATTAGAAGTGATGGACCCATTTTCTGGTGCTGTCACTGTGTTGTAACCCAGGTTGGGCCATGGACTGTGTGACACTCCTGGATTAGGTGGATGAAACATACATCAGATTTCTGCAAAGTGGGAAAAAGACAAAAGTCTTTCCAGAAATCCCCATGTAATCTTTTTTTGGCTCCTGAGAAAGACCCGTTAAACTGTCTGCAAGCCTTATCAACACAGACCCCATTCTGAGGGGACACTCGGCCTCAGTAATTCAGAACTAACAGTGAAAAGACAAGTCCCTGAGATCAGTGGTTCATTCCCAGAAGCAGCAAAGTCACTTTGAGTGCTACTACAGTCAGGGGAGGAGTCAGAGTAAGAGATCACAGCTGTCCCTTTTGCTAAGGCAGTGTCCATTCTTCATCCTGGGCTTCCCAGTAATGAATCACCTCTCCAAGAAAGCCATTCCCGTGAGTTCAGTGGGTTCAAAGAGCAGCTCTTGCACCCATGGTGATGAGTCAAGTGGTTGCTCTCTATGCTTGCTGTTGGATTGTCACCAATGCTGACATGCAGACCCCACTGTTGCTCTGCATGGGGAAAAATTTACAGGAGCTTTCTCACTAGGGCTACCAGCTTTGAAATGTCACCTTCTTCCATCTGGGGAAGATGAACTAATCTGGTGAAACAAAGGAAGGCTCTTATTCCTCTCACCCCTCCTTCCTTGGTGAAGGGAAGGAGGTCACGTAAGGTCATATGATTTTTCTTATCCTTTCCTCATCAGAGTAAAGGATTGAGCTTTATGGGCTCTGGGCAAGGTTTTTCCCATCTACATGTTTCACAGATGTTCCTTACAAAGAGTTAATTTCTTGTCTGGCCTCTAATTTTGAAGGTTAAAGTCCATTGCTCACAGAAATGGTACACTGTGGGCAGAATTCTTGTAAACATCTCCACATTCCCCTGCACTGATAGGAAGGTGCAGAGATCATGTCCACATATCTTCAGGAAGCATGTTTGAAAGCCCACCAGCCTGAGGCTTCTCCCAGCCAGGAGGAGTGCATCGTTTCAAGCAGTGTTCTGGTGAGCTCCTGAGTGGTGCCCTGCCAGAGGAAGAGCAAACAGTGAGGCAAGCTTGGTCTTGCTGCACATGCAAGGAAGGAGAGGATGTAGGAAAGCGTGTGGCTTAACCCTTGGGTGCTCATCACAAAGACTCGGCACAGGAGCCGTGGAAACACTTCTGCCAAGTCAAACCTCTGCCAAGTATTGCTCACCTCTGCAAGTGGCTCGGGGAGGGTCTGTACTCTAACCCTGCAACACACCACGACTCCAAAAACCATGGGCTGCAAACTGGTCCAAAACTGGAATTAGCTCCTGCCCTAGAAGGAGCACACAAAGCACAGAGGAAAGCTATTATCAGCATAAACAGAGTCTTATTTGGCTTTGCCTTTGTTGCCCGTTTGTGTCTGGTGTGAAGGCATTGTCCTGCAACTCACAGCAGGCACACACAGTCATGACACTATCAAAGCAGAAGGAGATGTTGTCATTCTCCACTGGAATTAGAAATCTTGCCAGGAGGAGGAAAGAATATTTTTAAATACGGTGTTGCTACATTCCCATGACTCCACGGAGCAGGAAAGTATTTTAAGAATTCTTACTTAACATCTTTGTCAGTGTATAGGCAAAATAAGATGCTTTTATAGCTAAGGTTTATCTGTGTAAAAATATGGGGATAAAAAAGGATAAAAACCCCAGCTACTGCAAATATGTAAATCAGCCTTTGTTTGGAAATGTTTTGCTCAGTCAGGGCAAAAATGTTATGTATTACCTCCACCCACACTTTTATTCTACCTATTCTTATAAATCATTTGTGCATTTAAAACGATATTAAATATTTTTAATAGTTGCTATATAGAGACTGAATACTTAGGGGAGGGATTTTTTTTCCCTAACATCTAACACACCAAGGTTGTGCCCTGGATAGTAGCCAAGACATCTGCTCCCAAATAAATATTAATGCTACACCTCAGCATGCACCCTCTGATAGTTGTCAGGACTGTAATTCACAACGCACATCTCACCAAGAGATTTTCCTGCACAGCACTCCAAAGCTCTAACAAGCTTTGAGCAGACGACAAAACAGTCTGGCAAGCTGGCAGTGACAGCAAAAATGGACATTTTTGCAGCAAACCCAGAGATTTATACAATGTCTTCCAGAAGAGCAATACATTATGGGAACACCACACATCTGCATAATTGCACTCTACATGATGCCATCTAATCCATACAGCCCACTGTGCTGGAATATGTGCACTGATCCCCTAAGGTACACTGGGCTCCATTTAAAACATATTAGCACTAATCATAGCATCTTCTCACATTTCCTATGCAAGAATAAACAGCAGAAGGAATTAATTGCTCTCCCCTCCTCCCCCATGCACTATACAGCACATCGTGTCCCACTCACAGCAGACCTGAGGCTCAGCACGACACAGGTTATCTCCTTATGGAGGTAACAGCACTATACACAGCCCATGGATTTAATTTTCCACAATCTGTCTGGTTTAATGGTAATTAGTCCCTTTAAGAGCTTTATACTGAAACATGGACACCCCTAGACCATCCTAGCTCAGGCAAGCTGTTGTTATAGGGCCAATGCCAGCAGCCTGTCTCAGAAACCCCTTTGGTCACAGACCCTTTTTCTCTGGTTGCTCATCCTCCTTCTGTTCCATCAGATGTACTTAGGACACTTCAGAGCTCCAGCTCAGAGCTGTGAGCTGCCACCAAAGGGCAAATGCAACAGCAGTGGCAGAGCCTCTGCCACATTTCGGTTCCAGATCTCAGCCACAGCAGGTGCATGAGCTGCAGGAGCCCACGGGTGCCTCACACCCACAGCACACACTGAGCCACGAGGCTGAGCTGGAGCTGCAGCTCTGCAGCTTCTCTCAGTGTTGGCACCAACTCACCAAACTGAGCTCTGAGTTGTTCACACTAAAGAGCAACAGGGTCTCTCCTTCCCTCTTGCCTGTCTGTCTCGTGGAGTCCAGCGGCATCTGCACGTGGGATGGTGGGGAAGGTAAGGGAGGTATAAATTAGCCAAAAGTTAGAGCTGGGTTGGGAAAGGCACACAGAAAACAGAAAGCTAAAGGGACCTGATGGTGCCAGTGCTGTTTCTGAGATAACTCATTTGAAAGCAAAAGGGGAATAGTATATTTAAACTGAGGCAGAATTACACAATGGGGAGGGGCTGGGACACTACCCAGTTGACAGAGTCAGCAATAGAAGAGAGCCTTAGTCATGCATCAAGAGAGGAACTGGATACGTTTTTGGAAGCAGAGCAAACTGAGGCATAGATTCACTGGCCAAGGTTAAATGAGTTGGAAAAGAAAGTGATTTATATGTGCTGGGCTGATAAGGGCAGGTCTTGCTGGGCTTTCAGGGCAGACTTCCCCATTTCTTCGTGTTCCTGCATTGCCTGTGTGCTCCATTCATACTGATGAGATTAAATGTAATGACTTTGGAAGTGTGAAGGCATGATTGCTTTGAAACTCTAAATCAGGAGGATACATCCAGATTGCCTTCCCCTGAAGTCGGTAGGGAAAGGCTGGGCTGAAACCAGTTTGACAAAAATCAATACTCAGCTTTTCATAACATAACATAACATAACATAACATAACATAACATAACATAACATAACATAACATAACATAACATACATAACAAACATAACATAACATAACATAACATAACATATAACATAACATAACATAACAAACATAACACAACACTGTTTAGCTTAAGCAGAGGTGGCAGGTTTGAGCTCTTGAAAATACACTGTTTGTGTCAGAGAAGGGATTTTTTTTTTTTGTCTGCCACGAAATATTTTTATGATGCAATATTCAGTGGCAATCAAAGTGCATATGGGCTGAAACGCAAGCTGAGGGTTTATGGCTCCCATTGGTTCAGCATCTCTGAAAAGTCAGTGCTGTGCTTATGCACAGTCTCAATGGGGAAATAAGGATGAAGCATCCTGGAGGGGAGACCAGTTCTTCCTTGGCTCACACTTAAACGTGTCCATTCAAGCACGTGTATCACGTCCAGCACCACCTACTAAGTGGAAATTGAAATCCTTGAACCAAGGGGAGGGAGGAGGCGTACAGGGGGTGTCTTCCCTCTAGACTTGGTAAATGAGAACTAAAAGTTACGTCAGGTTTTCTCAGAAGTTAATCTGTGGCTCTCAGGCCAACGTGGGTTGTTGCCAATGACAATCTGATTTCTGCATCAGCAGGTCATGGAGATCAGGTGGGGGGCAGAGGGAGTGCATATATCAGCCCAATGAGACAAGGCTGGGCTCTCTGTCCACTGTCTCCTTCCCCTTTGGCTGGCATCCCCTGTCCTGAGACTGGGGGTGTGGGATGGAAGTAACCCTTTGATAAACAGAACCCAGCTGTACTCAGAGGCCACCCCTGGCAGGCAGCTGTGGTGCTTCCTGGACAGTCAAGGGATTCTGTAAAGCCAGGAGGTGAAATGGCTGTGTAACGTGCTCTGTGTTTACTAAAGGCTGGACAGGTGAGGCAGTGGCTGTGATACCCGTGCTGACCATATCACACTCACCTCCTCGCTGCCACTGCAGGACCCAGTAGCTCAGGCTTTCCTCTCTTGCCTCCTCTTGCATCCTGGTTATTGTCCTGGTGCACAGACTCTGCAGGTCTGTGCCTCAGCTCTGCCTGTCAGACTCTCCAAGAAGTCTAAGCACAGAAGCCACTGTGGTAAAGGCCACTCAGCAGCCTGATGGGAGGTGGGTGCCACTGCACTGGAGGGGCCAACCTCGCTTCAGGTGAGTGGTGTGGACACTTCACACCCACTGGCCTGGCTGAGAGTTTTCCCTGCTGGGTGGGCTGCTCTGCAAAACCAGATGAAATGGATGAAGGAGCTATTTTGTCAGAAGACAGCATCAGACAAGAGGCACTTAGTGATGCAAAATGTGATGTAGGGTGTGAAATCTGCATCCTGGCTCGAGAGGAGAGAGGTTAGAGTTGTACAGAATGAATCTCACAGCCTGGGAGCCTGGCTATGATGTGAACACACTGGGACAGGAGGTCCAGCTACAACTGCCAGTTAGTTCTGGGGCAGACTGAGGACATTTTGGCCATTAGATTTACACAGCATAATCTTCCCCAGCCTCTCCCCGAAAGCCTGAGAGAGTTTGGCCTGATTTGTCCTGGTGGGATTTTGGATCAAGCCCAGAAGGTGTGAGGGTTCCAACAGAAGATGGTTGGGACCGAAGCTACTCAAAGGGCCCAGAAAACAAGCTGATAAAGGCACTTTTATGACATAGTCCCCATTTTATAAATGAAGCAAGAGATAAGAGGAGATAACAGATTAGAGAAGATAAACCCTCTACCCGTCCTCTACCAGTCAATGATACTGATCATACCAACCTCCAACTGGCTTTGCCCAAGGCCCTCAGACCCTGCAGGGTTGAGGCCTAAGGTAAAACATCAAGAACTGAATACAGATCTGGTTATGTTTATGATTCTTGAGTAATAAACACAACCTTGCTCACAATGAAACAGAGTGGATAAAAGCAGCCTTAAATAAAACTGTTACAATAAAACATTTAAATTTCATACTGGAACATAGACATCTGGGATTGCGACTGGACTGAGGAAAGCACAAACTTGCAGCATCTTGAAGGCACATCAATAGCTCATGGTTGAAGCAATCTCAGAAGCAAAACTTGCTGCCAGCACCCCAGGTTTAGAGGGATGCTGACGGTGTAGAGTTATAACTGCATCAGGATGGCTGTACCAGGAAAAATCCAAAAAGTAGTTTGAAATGAATATGCATACTAACAGCAAACTAGTGAATTCCCCTCATCCTCATGATCTTGACTAGTGGATGCCCAGCACTGCAAATCGTACACTGGCTGCCCTCTCAGCTGGGGAGGTCTGTAGCACCTGACTGAAGAAATTCTGCATTTCCTGACTTGTTCTTACTTTTCATGCATCTTGGAAGAAACACCTACATATAATAAGGTACATTTCCTTCTCAATCTTTGAACAAAACCAACCAGAAACAGACAATAAGTGGCTCATAGCCAAGACTTTCTTCAAAACATCTGCTCTTCAGCTCGGTCAGGCTCTGTGCCCTGTGAAACCAGATTTTAATGAAGAGGGAAAGGAAGAGGAAGCAAAATAACCTGTGGCTTTGCTTCTGAAGAACTGAATGGTTACATTAGGCTTGCTTTAGCCTGGCTTTGAGCACAGGTGTTAACTAAAGAAAATGTGTTGCTTTCCTGAACTGCAGTGGGTAGCAATAGGGCAAGGAATGCATGGTCTGATAGGAAGACTTCAATCAAGTCAAGTAAGGTAGTGGAGTACAAAATTCTCTTTCAGTTGCTACATTTTGAATGTATACACTATGTAGCATAAATGTGTTACTGGCTATCGCTGCTTCCACAAGTACAGCCGAGTCAAGTTGGATGCAACGTGAATTTGAAAATGTCAAGAATTAGAACATTTAAGACATTAACTGCTGAACATTTCAGAAATTACTCTGAGTTTCACTAAATCTTAGCACTGAATCCTCTTATATAACCTAAAGAACAGATCTCTTTTTGTTTTTAAAATGTACTCGGTGTTGTCTGCTTGGCTCCCAGCTGCTGCTATCTGCCTGCTGTGGTCGGCAACTGTAAATGTGGGGGGCCATTTTGAAACCAAAAGAGATTAAAGACAAGAAGAGGAAGTCCAACAACTTGAAGATGCTATCATCAATCCACAGCTGGCCGGGAACAGGAAGCAAGCGAGGATGGCATACATAACATACAGCCTCTATGGCAGAAGGACAGACAAAAATTAAAGGCTGTAGAAATTGTAGAGATTATTTCTCTGTGGGCATTGTTGTTGCTTCAGGCTGGTCATCTGTGAATGAAGAGCAGGCACTAAGAGCATGGACTCTTTCAGTGTGCAGCTTGTCTTACAGCACAAATGGTTTTATAGCTGGTTTAGAAAGGGAGCAGGGCAAAGCACAGAATGAAAAATAGGAACATGAGGATCAGACTTGGTTCTCATGACTGTCAGAACTTTGTATGGACCACAGTGCAAGGGTGTTCAGGTCCTGAATAGTTTCATCACCTGTTTAATTATAGCAGATGAAATGCAAAACAAAACACAGCTTCTCATACCCAGCTTTCAGGGAAACCAAATGTTATCATCACCTCAGGAGCCTGTGTGCAATGGAAAAGCTGCCATTGAGAGAAAGGCCATTTCAGGCCAAACATGAAAGCAGCAGATGTGGGAAGGCACAGCAGCGGCTGGAAAGGCTGGAGTGCTGAGTAAGCTGAGCCACAAGAGCAGCACTTTCAGCTCCCTCCCAGCGCCTGGTCCGAGGTGAGGCCCCTGCTCAGGGCTCTGGGAGCACCTGGTTTGCTGGTGTGCTGTGTCCACTGGGGGTGGCAGATGCTTGTGCTCTGGCTGTGGCCTCCCTTGCAGCTGGACGATGCCACAGTGGCTGTCAGCAGCACACCACGCTGTCCCTGCTGCAGCTGCATGGAGAAAGGGGACCCACAAAGAGCCTACAATATTTTTCAACTCCTTATGATCCCCAAAGGCCAGTGCAAGTGAGAAGAGCCTGAAAGGACCAAAGCATTAAGGCTAGTGCCAGGCACAAGACAGGGAAAGGAAAGCATTACACCCTGACTTGCAGCCAGAGGAGTTCAGCCAGCTCGAAGGACCTGACCCACAGCTCATTAAACACTTCACAGTGCAGTCCGAATCTCGTTTTATGCTTGGTTAATGCCATGAAGTAAATTGTACCTGTAATACATTTGCATCTGTAGCTTGCATCAGGTTGGATTAAGGTATAAAAAGCTGCTTAAGCACAAAAGTGCCCATTGTAAGAGCACTGTCATTAATGACACTGTGCTCATTTAGAGCAGAGTTCAGGCTCAGCCTACCTAGCGTCACTGCAGGGAAATCAAAGTGGGCACATTCAGACCAAGCACTAATACTCAATATCTGCACCAGTGAGGTAATTACAATAATCCCTTAATTACTGGCACCAAGAGAGTTTGAGGAAAACCTGCCTGGCAAACAAGCTCACCCTATAAAAACAAAAGTTCACAGGCTCGAAAAAAAGTCAAAAATATTCAAGTGAGTGGTTGTATCAGTA